TATTATTTAATATAAAATAATTCTTTTGATAATTCTTTCTTTTACAGTTTTTTTACACGGTTTCATCGTACTTTATGACAATGAGACAAATGATAAACGAGTGAAATTAGATTATAAATTCTCAGTTTATATTATTAAAACATATAATTAATCCATAACAATCATTTTTGTTTGGATTGTATTTGTAGTGTTTATTAAACGATCTTTTCAATTCCAACAGTTCGTAACTTTTATATAATTTATTTATCGAAAAAAATTCGGACTCGAATAATAGGAAAATTCTATTAAAAATTATAAAAAACATGACGAAAATTGTCAAAGGACAATTTTCTTGTTCTTTTCAAAGACGAGGAAAATATCGAGATACAAGTTGACATATAATGATAACTATAGACGACGCATTTATTTGTCCGGATGAATATTTTCAGATTAAAGAAACAAGGATTTTTATCATATAGAATAAAATTATTTGTAATTCATACCATGAAAAACTTCCATTACTACTTGAAGAAGACCAGTACAATCAATCACATATTTAACAAATTCGAATTCTTTCATGATGGAAGTATAAATGTTATTTTAAGTCCAGCCGTATGGTGTGCTTGTTATATCGACTATTCCAATTTTGATTAACGGAAATATACTCAACCCAATAATGTGAATCATTTTACAGATTAAAGCTGACCTTAAGCTGACTGACCTGTTAAATAATAAGGAAAAATACTTTAAAAATTAAAAAAAAATATAATTTAAACAAGTAACCACTAATAAATTTGATGCACACACAGTGAATAACGACAAGGATAAATTAAAAAACATTTTGAGCAGATGGTCTACGACATATCAAAATTTCGATTTTTTAACAGATACATATCTATATTAGATAATTATATATACTTATACACAAAATTCCAGTAAGAAAATAAGACAATTGATGCAAGTAAATAAATGGTTAGAATAGAAATGATCGAACTGTAGATGGCACAAAAGTTACAAATATCACTGCTCTATGGTTAAGAATTAATTCTAGACGGGAATTTTTAAATTTCACTGCAAACTTGTTTTCCACTATCTTTCAAAGTTCGAATTAATAATAAAACAATTTAAAAACATGTTCTACACTTTAATTAGGAACATTTTCGACCGTTGGTATATATCAGAATCTATCTAACAATTATCTTTACCCTAGGAATAAAATTTCTTATTAAATTTCACTCACAAAGCGTTAAAGTATCGTTAAAAATGTATCTAGAGATAATTAGCAAAAGGTATCAATTTTCTTAGAACGCGTTTTGATGTCTGGAATAGCAAATTAAATAATAACGATGGTATAGATACGATACGTGTTTGAATAGAGTGTAGAATGAATTTTAAATATAAG